TGAAAAGACTATATAGTCTGAAAGGTCCCAGCAATGTTGATAGAGATTAGACTACTCATTAGAGACATTACTTTATATGCAATAATGCTCTGTAGCAACTGCTGGAAGCATGGAAGGGTATCTTCAAGCAGTTGAAAGCAGACTTTCAACTGCTCACATATGGGTAAGAAATGAGTACCATTCACTCTTGAAATGCTGACTTAGATCCATATTTCCCCCAGAGGTTAAATTGCATCTAACATGAGGGACTTTGGAAGGTAGTTAGCATTATAAAATACTACCAATGTCTGTGGTAAAGCTTATCTTTAGATATTCTTGCTATGCCCTTATATGCCTGGGAACACTTCAAAACTAGGCATAAATATTTGGACCTGTTGATACTTTTGCAGATTGTGTGTGGATTATTATAGGCAATATATATCAACTCTAATTAGTCCTATGAAGTATCATGTGTGCAAAATATTAACATACTGAATTTGTATAATATAGTAGGTAGGATTTTTTTGATAAAATGTGAAAATGTTTATATCGGAGGTAGAAATTTTTCTCTGATAAATGAAGTTTATTGTGTGTTGAATATTAGAATATTAGTTTATCTGGTGAAATACGATTACTAGAGTTCTCTTAGAGATAAATTACTATTTTATCATTTAAATGAATAAAAATGGTACAAAAATGTCTCTCTGTTTGATTGCTGAAGTAATACAATATCTTATTATCTATGTATATAGCTTAACTTTCTCCTCTTCACAATCCTTACAGAATTTTCTTTTAAATAATTTGGATAAAGAAGTCTACAAGCCACTGTTCATTAACTTTTCAGCACAAACTACAGCAGCTCAGACTCAGAATATTATAATGTCCAAGTTGGACAAAAGGAGAAGAGGAATTTTTGGACCTCCTCTTGGGAAAAGAATGGTAACTGATATATTTCTGTTTGTAAATAAGTTTTTAAATGCAAACAAATATGTAAATGCTTTATTTTCTCAACTGATCACAGGTGATATCAAGAAAAGTTGCTCAACTGAAATAAACTGTCAGAGTTCTAAATCTTCTAATTTATATCTTCATGTTTCTCTTCTTTCTCCCTTATCCCCGTAATATCCATCCTGTTTTAATCAACAGAAGAAAATATGATATATAATATGATTTGAATTAACTGTGAACAGCATTGTCATACTTCCCCCTCCATATTTTGTGATAATTGCCTTAGAGATAAGAGTTTGTCAGTGTTTAAACCCAGCCGGCAACTAAGCACTACACAGCTGCTTGCTCACTCCCCCACTATCTCCTATTAAAGGAGGTTTTGAATATTTTATGTTGTTTTTACTGATGCCTCCCAAACCCTTAAAGAGCAGTGACCTATGAGTGCTCAGAAGCTTGAGGATATTGGAGTAGACCTCTTTTTCTTTTTTTTCCTTCAGTGAGCAAATCCTTTTCTCCTCTGTCCAGAAGAGTTGCAATGAGATTGTAAATTTAAATCTTAAGGAGTTTCTATTATATTTTTTTTTCCAACCCAGATTAAGGAAAAATTTACCTTTTAAGAAAATTTAACAATTATTATGTTTAAAATGCAGAGGTAGATGTGCATGATTTAATACTGGTACTTTTAGGATGCCTATAGACTTTTTGTATTTGCAGCCTTGGTTTTTTTTTTCTCATTTTCAGTATTTCCTAGCTATTATTTAATAAACACTTGTTATAAAGAGCAAAATGTGTTAATGTTACAAGTTCCTCAAGAAAGTATTATTTAAAATGTTTTAAGGTATTCCCCTGCAAGCTATTCTTTTAAGATGTATTTTAGCCCAATCTTAAAAATGTATGAGATACTTTGAAGGGATAGATTTTTGCCTTGGTCTGTATTAGTTGAGAACTCTTCAAACCATTTCAGTATATTGCCCAAATTGCAGTGCTAAATAATATACAAGGCCCATGATTTAACCTGTTTTTCTTTTGACCAAATTTCTACTCTATATCAGTTAGAGAATAAGAAGAAATGGGGATAAAATGCATAAATGTGTTTCTAGAACTTGCATCAGTTGCATTAGGTTGGTTGTGTGAAGATGTTTCCTGATCAGCATTGGCCTATACTTTAGGAACAATGGTTCCAAGAAAGATGTAATGTTTAATAGATTTAAAACAGAACCATAGTCTCACTGACGTTTGAGATGTTTGTGGGTCTTCTCAACTCCATCTTTTTTCCCAAGAAAAGCCATGTAAATAGCACAGTAATGTTTAAATAGCAAGTACTAGTTTAATTACCATTAAATACACTCAGAAATAAGAAGAGAAGCACAGTTTTTCTTTCCTCTGTAGATGTTTTCTAGTGGATTTAGAGTGGTACAGTTACTTCTTGAGTTTGATTTTTTAGCTCAGCAGCAACTCCATTGAAAGCTTAGGGCTGCTTTTCAAAAAAACATGTATTTATGTGTTTTATTTCCATTAATTTTAATGGGAGTGAATTGATATGCAGTGTTTCCAGAATCAAATGAAATGGTGGCATATATTTGGAAAAATAAATAAATAAAAGCAAAATCCTTTATGTTTTTCTTTTCAGGTTGTATTTGTAGATGATGTTAATATGCCTGCACGAGAGGTCTATGGTGCTCAACCACCTGTTGAATTACTACGACAGTGGTTAGATCACTGGAATTGGTATGACCTTAAAGACTGCTCAGTGATTAAACTTGTAGATGTTCAGATTGTGTGTGCAATGGGACCACCAGGTAAGAGATGTGTCTTATATGCTTTTTTCTGTTTCTTTGGTTTACAAAAGCTGAATGATTATTGATGCATAATTTTATAATTTGGGTCTTTATGGCTAGGGATAGAACTTGAGTAACCCTTTCCTTGCAGGAAACATGAACACCAGTCATAGTAGAGTGCTTGAGAAGTAGCAGAGAGACTACACAAGCCTACCAGGAAGAAATGTGCTTTTCAGAAAGACAAGAAAGTATCTACAAAGTATTTATGAAAACTCTTTGGTCTAATGAGACCCTCCATTGGCCTTCAGTCAATTTTGTTTTCCTTCAAAACTTTTCTAAATATCATTAAGTGATGTTTTTAAGCAGATAAACTTCACTTGGGAAAAAAAAAAGTAGTAAAGCATATGGTGTAAAGAGATCATTATATTTCTGATAGCCTGCATACACATTGACTATATGAGCTATTTAGTTAAAAAAATTGAATCTGCCATATTTTAGTTAAAAATGAGTAGAGTTGTTTACATACACACGAACATACTAGTGAACCTTCTCCACTGATACTACTTTTGTGTTTGGAATGGTGAGGCATGCCCATGGGATAGGGGTCCACTGCTCTTTCACCTGTCTGGTTTCCTAAAGAAGCAAAACGGCTTCTTGCAGTCATTTTAAATTAGAGGTAGCGTTCATCCACAGTTAAAAGCACTTGATCTAAGTATCAGTCTATGGAATAACTGCACAGAAGGAAACTGTAAAAGAATTTTAAAATCTTACATCTTCATTTTTCCTAAAGCTTAAGTAAAGTCATGATTTTTGCTATGTTCTGACATAACTGCATGTTAGGGTTGTTGTTTATTTGTAGGGGTTTTTGGGGTTTTTTGGGCAGGGGGTGTTTTTTTGGTTGTTTTGGGGTTTTTGTTGTTGTTGTGTTTTTAACATCAGAAATAGCTAAATCTTGGAGGTGCTTTTTCTGTAAAGCATTCCTTTATGCTATGTTACTGTTCAGGGTGATAGTGTAGAAGTGACTTTCAACTGCTCTGAAATGGGGTCAAATTTGCCTTTCCCAGGAGATGTTTGTAGCTAGTTTTGTTCCAGTACTTTTATGGTTGAATGGTGAAAAATGGACTGATCAAATGTACAAGTTATGGTCCTAACTGTTTGTGTCAAATATCACAATTCAGTGTCAGACTGAAGAATTTACTTTAGTAGATTTGTATAGGGAGCTATTTCAAGAACTCACAAAATTATGTTCTTTCCGGCCTGTGTTTATTTTTTTTTCTCCTAATAAGAAATGAAAATGCAAAGCCTGTACTTGTATATAGTACTATTGAAGCAAATATAAAACTATTTAAAGAACATTAAAAGCTATTTTGTTAAAATTAGGTTTAAAATTTGTATTAGGAAAGGATTCTCTTTTGGGTAAAATTAGTATTTATATCCCAATACTTGTGTAATTTTGCCATCAGTGCACATGTAAACTTCAAGAAGCATTGTAAACTACTGTGTCTGAGAGATGACCTTAGTTGGGGTAGAAGGAAGTAGGATGAATAACTGGCCTATCTAGCATAAAGTGCTGAGATTCCTCAGCAGATACTGGTAATGCATACACAGTTAAATATGGACAATCGCTAGTTCTGCGTGCAGTCTCAGGTGGCTGAAAGGTAAACAGCTCCAGGCCAGGAGTATCTTAGTTTCATTAGTGCAGGATCATGCCTGAGCTGAAGTCAGATGTTTTAAAAGAACTTACCATGCTAATTTGGTTGCCCTTAGCTATGCTTCTGATTTTAGGGATGGAGATTGCCCACTTTCCAGCTACTTTTTTCCACTTTTCTGCTATAAGAAGGTTGAACACACTATGCAGCAGCTTAAACCCGAATTCCAAAAAGAAGGAGGAAGTATCCAATAAATTTCTGGTTTGCATCCCCCTTATTTCCATACATAGTTTCATTGTCCAAATCAAAATCTAGTCATAAAAACTACTAACGTTAGAACTGGAAAAAAAAAATAAATTTAATAAAGTATGCGGTATTACTTGTAGAGGCTTCTTTCACTGGAATGCTTTGGAAATCAAGAACATGTGCTTAGATTTTATAATAAAAGTTTTATAACAGAAACATAGTTAAAATAGTGTCAAATGTATCTATCTGTAATTTGATAATCTGGATTTTTGCAGACTATTGGTTACAGGAGAACACACTGACACTGAACTGTATGTTCCTTTCATTAGGTTTATGACAAGGTGTGGTACTTTTCAGTGTGAGCCTGCTAGCTGAATCAAAGATGAATATTAGAAAAAAAATTGCTAGGATTTTACTATTTTGTTTTAAAATTTTCTGTTACTTATAGCATTGATGCTTTCTAATATTTAGGTGGCGGTCGAAACCCAGTAACACCACGATTCTTGCGACACTTCAATACAGTTACTATTAATGAGTTTGATGATGAATCCATGTACACAATTTTTTCTCGAATCTTAGACTGGCATCTAACAGCATGGTAAGTGACCTCTTATTGGTAAGTGACCTATGTATTGGAAAATATCAAAGTCATTGTTTAAATTATGGTACTAGGAAATCTCCAAGATATGTTTGTAGGATGCTGCTCTTGAAAATAAATTATAATCTTTTACATCCTGTGCCTTTTGAGTTATTCATTATGCCACAGAAGTAGGGCTCATCTTAAAATACTCCAGTGGTAAAGTTCTTGTTCTGAAGTGTTCTGAAGATGTTTAGATCAGCTGAGACTAATTCAGTTAGTTGAGATATTACTGTAATACAGTATTCTTTGATGTATGATAAAGAATAATAGAATTTAGTTATTATTCAAAGAATAGAACTGGAAACTGCTCTTTAATTTCCTTTGGTTACTCTTTGGCCTTTCACCACTGCATAGTTTTTAATTCCATCATTAGGAATGGACTTCAACTTTCACTGTCTTTTTGACAGTTAAACCCCAAAAATGCTCACATTCTCTTTCCAGCCCAAGTCTGTGATTTGACAGCTTCTGAGCCTTTGAGGTAGAGAGGTCCCAGGAAACAGCAAGGGCTATTTGAGCTGACTTACCTGTTACTGCTGTTTGTCGTAAAAATGAGCGGGGGGAAAGGGTATAATTAGCTGTCTAACGTGGCTAAATTTGTCAGCATGTTCCACAGTTACTAGATTAGATTTGCAGAGTTAATCTGTTAATCCAGTGAGAGAACTAAGATTTGTAAAACTGCCTGTGAGGAAGTATAATCATAGAACTTAAAAATTTGCATGAACTTAAGTAAATCAGTGTACATATACAATATTATTTATTAATTCACACGCTAGTATGATGGAATTATGAGGATCATTCTGTTCTTACGACCTTTTATAATTTATCAGTTACAGCTTTCCATCACAATATGTAGAACTGACTCCGCAAATTATCAATGGAACCATGCATATATATAAAGAAAGTATGAAGAATCTACTTCCTACCCCAGCGAAATCTCACTATTTGTTCAATCTCCGTGATTTTTCACGTGTTATTCAAGGTGTTTGCCTGTCAAGGCCTGAAACAACAGAATCTGCAGGAGTTATAAAACGCCTCTGGGTTCATGAGGTAAATTACCTAATACTAAGAAAGGATATTTATTATAAATAAGAAAAAGATGTGGATTTGTGTATTAATCTTTTTGTATTGCCATCTCCTATTAGCTAATAGATGTGAATTGGTATTACACTAATGAGAAAGGATTTTGTAAACTGTATGGGTAGAGGAAATCAGACTTTTTCAAAGTATGAGTCATATTGTAGTAAACAAGTTGATTGTTGATACCTTCACTTTCATGTGATTATGGAGCCTCTGTTTGTTGCTTTGAATGCCTGCACAGTCCTTTCCATTTCTTCCATCCTTTCTCCAAAAAAACAGAATCAACAGTGAGAGGAACAGCAAGTAGTAGTCCTGGGTGACTGGAAAGGAACAACAGTAACTTTTGAAGTGTTTTTCTAAAAATTTCTTACAATTCTCTAAGGATGAAGGATGTTCAGACTTCCAGGCAATCTATTCATGTTCTTTACTATCTTTTTCAGGAAAAACATCTTCTAATATCCAGCTGCAGTCTTCTTTCTTGAAATACAAACACATACCTTGTCCTCTCTAGCTGTAGTGGAGAGACCAACATGATCCCTTCCTCTTTAAAGCAGCCTTTTGTACATTTATGTAATAATATTTATAAATTTATATGTATGTGTGTATATGTATTTCCATATGAATTTTCACTTTTATTCAGAAGTAATATTATTGAGCTCAACTGTTCAAATTAATTCTAAGTATCTATTTTGGTTTTTTTTTCTGTATAGCAAAGTTTAAGACAGTTTATATTTTAAAGCCTTTTTTAGAATTTTGTTTGTTTAATCTTGTTTAAAAGAAGTATAAATTCAAGAGCAGAATCAACTATTACAAGAACTATTTTTTTTATTATACAGGTTCTTAGAGTGTATTATGATCGCTTGGTGGATAATCCTGACCGGGCTTGGCTTGTTGGATTTATCCAAGAAGTAGTGAAAAATGACTTACATGAAGACTTTCACGAACTTTTCCAGCATCTGGATTTCAACAATGATGGCAGAGTGGAAGAAGATGACTTACGTAGCTTAATGTTTTGTGATTTTCATGACCCTAAGAGAGAGGACACTAAATACAGGGAGATTAGCAATGTGGATCAATTGAGATTAATTGTAGAGAGTCAACTTGAAGAGTTCAATAACACGAGCAAAAAGCCAATGCAGCTTGTCTTGTTCCGATTTGCTATAGAACATATTTGTCGAATTTCCCGTATTCTGAAACAGCCTCGCAGCCATGCCCTCCTTGTTGGTGTTGGAGGTAGTGGTCGACAGTCTCTTACTCGATTGGCAGCATATATGGCTGAATACAACCTTTTTCAGGTTGAAATAACAAAAAGTTATGGTGTCAATGAGTGGCATAAAGACTTAAAAGTCATATTAAGAAAATCTACTGAAGGGGAAATGCAAGGAGTTTTCTTGTTCACAGATACACAGATTAAAAAGGAGTCATTCTTAGAAGACATTAACAACTTACTAAATGCAGGTGAAGTGCCAAACCTCTTTGCAGTAGATGAGAAACAAGAAATTTGTGAACAAATGCGTCAAATAGATCGCCAACGGGACAGGGCAAAACAGACAGATGGCAGTCCTGTAGCTCTTTTTAACATGTTTGTTGATCGCTGCCGAGATCAGCTTCATATAGTACTGGCAATGAGTCCCATTGGAGATGCTTTCCGTAATCGCCTTCGTAAATTTCCAGCTCTTGTCAACTGCTGCACACTAGACTGGTTTCAGGTAAAAACAAAACTTTTGTTGGGCTTGTTATTCTAATGGAAATGCAATACAAGCATGACTTCAACCATTTTTATAGCAAGTAATTATCTTTGGTCAAGTTAGCAGTGAAAAATACTTTGAATTTTCTTAGTGTTGTGTTTTAAATTGTTTACACCATTAGAACTGTTCTGACTGTAATAAAGGCCAATAAAGGCTGAATGCAAAATCACCAAGAAAATAACTGTCTTCATTGTGGTATAAGAGTATAATTGAATGAACATAATACTGTAGACGTTACAGATTTAAATATGTAGTTTTTTTCTTCTATTACCAGGACCACCAGAGCCTAGAGTGCCAAAAAAGTTTGTAATGGAAATATTCAGGCATCTTTTTAATGTAGAGCACCAGATTTTTCCCCACTACTTTGCAGTAAAACTATATTCTATCTGAGTGTTATGTGCAAAAGACCTTAGAATATTTAAGATGTAGAATTTAATCATATGGAGAATCAGAGGAACTTAAATCAAGTTTTAAAACATAGTAGTCTATCTTTAAAAGTTACTTTGAAGAGGAAGAGCAGAGACAGTTTACACACACATATGGACATACTGAAAATGCGAAATTTTCCTTTTTGTAACAGTATTTCTACTGGATGAAATAAGACAGGGGGCTTGAACTGAATTCTGAAGCAGATATTTATTAATTTGTTTTAGACATGGCCTGAAGATGCATTAGAAGCTGTTGCCTCTCGCTTTTTGGAAGATGTCGAAATGTCAGAAGAAACTCGAAGTGGGTGTATTGAGATGTGCAAAAGCTTTCATATGTCTACCATTGTTTTATCTGACTTATACCATACAGAGCTTCAAAGATGGAACTATGTTACACCTACTTCATACTTGGAATTGATCTCCACTTTTAAAAGTCTACTTGAAAAGAAACGCACGTAAGGATTTATTATGTGAGCTTTTCTAGGGGAACTCAAGTTCACCAAGAATATTATTTTCTGTGTCTTATAGTTAATCTGCACAAAACAAGTAACTTTTTTTTTTAGTTAATTTAAATTAACAGAATGGTAGATAGATAGATAAAATATACTCTTAGGACACATGCTTCCTTAGTGGACAAAAAGTCTAACTTGATGCTCTCAAAATATACTTACATTAGACCACTTCTAATGCTCCTGGTGATGTTGCTATATATTGGTTATGTATATTATGCTACCAGAGTAATTAATGCAGCCTGCTTTCTCTGTGGTTCTCTGGAGGATGGAGGGAAGATGACATCTGGGTAACCAGCTTCCAAGGTGCCATTGGCTTGCTAACAGGGTTCAGCTGTGCTGTGCCTGTGCACGTGCACATCTGTTCTATTTTTGTAGCTGGTGAGGGAAAGTTCCTTTTTTTCTTTTTTTCCCCCCTCCTAATTGATAAAACACTACCATAACAATTAAGACAAGTGCTTGATTTGATCAGCAGGCTGTGTGAAACACTGCATGCAGCAAGAAATTCCAGGAATAAAGAAATACAGTTTTGAATGCAGTGATCCAATGCCTTTGGAATTTCTTGATTCTGACAGTGTTGGCTGTCCCCAGATCCATTCACATTCTGCTACTGAAGTGATTTTCCCAATTATATTAATCCTATTTCAGTCTCATCTCAACTAATAATCTTCACTAGTATATCCCCATCTCCTCCCTCTCATTTTCTTGTCCATTACTACTGTGCCATCTTGATTTTGTTGCTTCTGCCAACAAAGCCGCAGAAGCTTAACAATCACTTATTTACCTATAAGTGATCACTTATTTATCTATATCCCAATCTCTGAATATACCTGATAGAATATTTCAAGACTATGGCTCAAGTAATCCCTGCTATGTTTACTCTTTGTTGAGTAAATAAAACAAGATTGGCAGAGCATTTGATTATTCAGAGTAGTGAGTTTGGAGAATGGATCCCAATGAATGAAGTGATCGAGTACTGATAACATATCTTTATAATAATGTACTTTTTATTTTCAGTAAGGTGATGAAAATGAAAAGAAGATACGAAGTTGGCTTGGAGAAATTGGACTCTGCTGCATCTCAAGTAGCCTTGATGCAGTCTGAGCTGGAGGCTCTGCAACCTCAGTTACGGGAAGCTAGCAAGCAGGTTGATGAGATGATGGTCGTTATACAAAAAGAATCTTTGGAAGTAGCTAAAACTGAAAAAGTTGTGAAAGCTGATGAAGCAGTGGCAAATGAACAGGCTATGGCTGCAAAAGCCATCAAAGATGAATGTGATGCTGACTTAGCACAAGCCATGCCTCATTTAGAAAGTGCTCTGGCTGCCCTCGACACTCTTACTCCGCAGGTATGGCTAACAATGCATATTTATGCACTGGAGAGGCATTCAGATACAAACAACCATGGAATATTTGCCTTCTCAGATTTGACATACTTACACAGTTTTATAATTTAGAAACTTATTGAAATCTTTCAGCTTTAAAAAGCAAAATGCTATTCTGTCTTTATTTTCCAGTGAAAAAGCTATACTGCTAAATTTTGATGGACTACAAGATCAAATATTATTCTTGACATTTAAAAATCCATAGTTATAAAAATATTTTGACTCAACAATTGAGAAGCTAGAAAATGTGTGCTTTTTACTTTCTTATTCAGAACCTGCCAGTCTGTCAACTAATAGTTTTATATTCAGTCTTTCAGATGCTAGAAGTTGAGGTTGAAATTCTATGTCTCTCTGTTAGGGGACCACTCTTCATAAGAGTATGACAGTGGAGGCAGCCACCTTTGATTTTATGGATGTTCAGGTTTTCTTTGCCTGGATAATGGTTTTCTCATTTTGGGATGAAAAGAAGTCTCCCAAATTGTAAGAGTGAGGATGGACTATATGGTCCAGCTATTGTTGCCGAAATAAAGATTTTCAAAAACTTTCAAGAAAACCTCCTTAGATAGAAACTAGATGACTTATTAGCTACAGCTATTGGTTGGTATCAAAAGTTTTAGATTCTGGTATTGTCAGATCATTGGCATGCTTTGTGAAAATAGTAGATGGCTACTTAATCACTTCAAGGCAAGTGTATTATACTTGTGAATGACAAGACAAGATCGAGGCTTTGAAGGCTAATGAAGTAATACTTCATCTGCTGCCAATGATTAGTCTATCCAAGAAGGGAATATTATAATACAAGAGGAAAAAAATGTAGTGGGAACTTCCAAGGGTTTAAAGATAGTTAAATAGCATGATGAACACAAAAAAAATCTGTGTGTAGGAGAGCTTAGAGTACCTGTACAGGACTCTTGGTTTTGATTCACCCTTCGCCCTGGCCACCTCTGATGGAAAGCAGAGCAGGGGACACATTACAAATTATGCCCATAAAGCTATGTACATAAATGTGCAGATTCACTGCTTTGTTTGGACAAAGAGACATACGTAATTCAGTACTGCTGAAATGAGTATCTAAAGTCAGAAGGAACTGTGTACCTCATGTGGCTCATTGTTCAGCAAGGATTAGAGAAAGTATAACAATTTTAAGTGTTATTTTGCTGTTGGCATCTAAGTTTTGCAGCAATATGCATACGAAAATACTGAAATTTAGAACTAGGAAGCGACCTCTGGAAGTTATCTTCTTCCACTTGTGTTCTGTTCCACTTTACACAGTTATAATTGCAAAGATTTTCCTGGTGTTTACTGTTACAAGATTAACAGTACATTACAACTCATTACAACTTCACCTTGTTTTCTGTCCTTCTCCCTGTGGGCATGGTTCTTTATCTTTTATGTGGCTAAAGGCTGTACTCGCTGATCTCACCACTCCCAGTTTTCTGCACACTAAGTCATCACTATTCTTTTCGTCTTTTCTCATAAATCAAAAGGGCTTTTCTGGTTATTCTTTCTAGACCTTCTCCATATGTTCACTTCATGTGCATTGCCCAAAGTTGAACATGGTATTTCAGCTGTAGTTTCACTGGATGCTGTGTGGAGTAGAGGAGGATTATTGACACGTGTAGTTTGTCTTTCATGCTAACAACTATATAATTTCCTGAAAATCACTATTTGTAATAATTGCTTTCCCTTTTTTTTCCCTCTGTTTGTTCTACTATACTTTTTAATTTCTCAAATTTATCAAGATTTTTATTTCCTTTTTTCTACTCCAGTGTATTTGCATTTACTCTCAACTTTCTATCGGTTGGAAATTTAATAAACATATTCTCTTTTCCATCATTCATTGCATAGGTCTGGACCTTTGTGACCTTGGTCGAATCTTTGCTGTGTTTTGACAGTGTTCTCAAATGTGCTGTCACCTACTCACAGTTAATATTTTAGAGACATCAGATGCAAAGAACATTTAACGTTTTGACTCTGTACGTTATTTACTCGTATTTCACCCTTTTCACTAAGTACCTAGCCAGTACTTTTCTTGCTATTACTGTAGTCATAAAATTTTTCTTGTTATACTTAATATTACTTTTAATCTCATCTTAGTTTGAGTTTAAAATAGTGTCTTTAAAATAGTCTCCTATTCTGCTTACAACTCTTGGTTGTATTAAGTCAATTTGTGTTTGTCCTTAGTTTTGTTTCGTGGAATGGCTGGTTAACTTTGATTGTTTTTCCTCTCCAAGGACTTCCTTTCCTGAAGATCCCATCAGCCAGTTTTCCAGCTTCCTCATTAAAATACCCTGGCTTTATTAACTTGCTGTTGTTTCCCGCTCCTGAACACTTGTGTGGTTACAAAATTAACATCCCTAGAACTCAAAAGATACCTCTTTCTAAATTGCCAAGGTTTTAGACCTCAAAGAAACCATGGGCAAGCTCTCAAAAGTCTAACACTAATTGGCAAAATACACATGACGATCTAGAAATCTTTTAATTTATTGGACTATGTATTCTCTGAGAAGAGCTGTTCGAAAGAATATTTTAATTTCAATGCAGTTATTCTTTGGGAAGAGTAAGAGACATTCTCCATAAATCTTTAGTTTACAAACTCTTGCTTAATTAGTTTTACATATATGTGTAGAAGTGTTTCATTCTTTTCGATTATCGTTCTATATTTGCAGTTAAAACTTTACTTATTAATTTCTTGCTATTTCTTATCATTTCAGTATTTCTTACCTAATAGTTTTCTTCCTTTTAGCTGCCTCTTCCCTCATTCAGCTTACTCTGGGAGTTTAATAACTGACCAGAATAATAATTGATTTATTTTCTGTACTTGAAGAGCATAGACCTTTAGTTCTGGGTTGAAGGCAGCTTTTACCTTGTTATCTTAAATCTATGAATGCACTGCTGATGTGGTCGGTAAGCTTGGAAGTATTGTGTTATAGCCTGAACTGGAGGCTAGAGCGTAATGCTGGAACATCTGAACTCCCATAACTGAGGTGCAATGCTCACTACTGAATTAGGAGCAGAAAAAGTACAACTTAAAATGAGTTACAGATAAGATTTTTTTTTTTTTTTGTCTCCTCTAAACTGATTGTTGACTAGATTTCAGATATTTTTGTTTAGATGTCAGTGTTAGTTTAATCTGTATAGCACCTTAAAGAAAGGACTAAAAAGAATGGATTTTTTTTAATTTTGATTTTTTTTTTCAAAAAGAAAATGAGATCTATGTGTACGGACTATGCAGGCCTGTGCTATGAAATGGAGATCATAGCATATTTAAAAATACCAAGTATGAGAATAGCAAATGCATATAAAAATATTATGGTGCCATAAAAATTGTCATTATTTCTATTGTAACAGAAGAATTAATCCACTTATGTTCAGAGCTCTAAAGGTATTTTTTAATTATTATTTTAAGGATATTACAGTGGTTAAATCCATGAAGAGTCCTCCTGCTGGTGTCAAGCTTGCAATGGAAGCTATATGCATCCTTAAAGGCATTAAGGCAGACAGGATTCCAGATCCATCAGGTTCTGGAAAAAAAATTGAGGATTTCTGGGGTCCTGCTAAGAGACTTCTGGGTGACATAAAGTTTCTTCAGTCTCTTCATGAATATGACAAGGATAACATTCCCCCAGCTTACATGGCTATCATAAGAAAACAGTATCTTACAAATCCTGAGTTTGTACCAGACAAGATTCGAAATGCTTCTACGGCAGCAGAGGGTCTGTGCAAATGGGTCATAGCCATGGAGTTTTATGATACGTAAGTATGTATGGAAAAAAAAAAGTTAAAATAAATTTGATTAAAGAAATCAGTTTATTTTCACACCAAAAGAGATATGAAATTACTTCTTACTAGTGGGAAACCTGTGCAAACAAGCAGTCATAAAGATCCATTCATGTAAGATACCTGATGTTATGGTATAGAGCCCGATTTTCCATGCTGAGTTTTACTGAGAAGGTGTGGGAGCAACAGTCTGTTCAGCTAGCAAATAAAGTTAACTTCCTTTTAGTGTTGCACAAAATGGAGCAATTATTGAAATGTCTTTGGAAGTTTCTGATAGTCATATCAAGCCTGAAGGATATTTTTTTGTTAGACATTGTATTTGATGCAGTGAAAAGTGTGCTTATTTTTCATGCTATCTCCTAATTTGAAACATGGGGAACTCACATTTAATAGTAAATCAGCACTGGGTGACTAAGCTCCAACTTGCAGTTTGAAAGTTGAGTCATGGTAGGTAGTGCATGCCTTCATTTGAGAGGATATTTTGTTACTCAACTAAAATACTAGTAAATGCGTACTTGGTAAGAGTTCTCAGTTTGAGAACAACTTTTCACGTTACAAGTACAAATTGTTAGAGAGAAAATTAACTAAAAAGGTAGACTTTAAAGGAGATGGCAACTTATACCAGTATGAGAGAGGATTAATTAATTATGAGATAAATACTTGTAAAATACCATTTCAGTTGAGCAGAGAGACTTTCTAGCATATTTTCTTGCTGCTTGTTTTTGGAAAGATAAACAATACGTTTTCAGTTATATGATGTTACTTCCAATATTCTCCTCACAAAAATATCTGTGTAAAAGATTGAAATCCTGAAAATTGGAAAATAGATCCTTGGATGTGAAAAGCTGTTAATTATTTATTTCATTTTGTGTACACAGTTGGCTGTATGTGTGTATACAGTGTCTGTGTTATTTAATATATATATGATTATTTGTGTGTTTCTAATGGCACAAATCCATAATGGATTTGAAATTGTGGTCAGTTAGACACAGTCTGTAGGCATAACCCTTTTTGCTTTTAATTGTTACCTTTTATTACAGAAAAAAATTGCAGAAACTGCATAAATGAGTCGGTATCAGCACAGAAACAACTAATTGTCTTCAGATATAGAATTATGAAACAGAATGCATGAGCTACTGGGTTGCTGAGGTTTTCCTTTGTCTTTCCTATGTTAATTTTTTCAGTAGTAACCCTGCAGTGAGGTTGTGTCTTTAGGATGTTTAATTTATTCTTTGACTTTATTTAGAGTGACAAAAAATGTTGCACCCAAAAAGCTAAAGTTGAATCAAGCTGAAGAAAAATTAAATATTGCTATGGATAGTCTAAGAAAGAAACAAGCAGACCTTAAGGAAGTTCAAGACAAACTGGCTGTACTTCAGCAGACACTGGAATCCAAGAAACAAGAGAAGGCTGACCTGGAAAATCAGGTATATGATGCAAAAGATGAACTATTGTTCTACTGAAATCCAAAAAATTATTTAAAATTTGCTTCTTTGTCAAATGGTATTTTTCCTATTAACTGCCAATATGTTGAACAAGCTGTACTTTTAGATAACCACCTTTTTATTTTGGTATATTGGTCCTGAAGTTATAAATGGGCAAAGCATGGGGAATAAATGCTTTAAAGTAATAGAAAATGTAGATGTTATGAATTTACCAACTGCTAGCCCTCTCTTACATCCTCACTCATATCTGCTTTCTTGTGAGGAGATAAATTTACAATGAGTATACTAAGAGTTGATTCATCCATTAACTTGCAAGTCAGTACATTTAAAGTTTTGAAAATTTATTTATGCCTTCTGTGCTAGTGCAATTTTGAGAATGTTTCTGGTAAACTCTGTACCTGACTGTTAAAGTGTTGTTATGTGTGAAGAAATAGGCAATGTTTAGAAGATGGTATTATTTTTTTTTAAGGTTTGCAGTACGTAATCTTGAACTTTTTTTACAAAAATAGTATCAGAATTTGAAATGGAGTCTTAATTCCTGTCTGTAGTTAAAGTCAGGTCTTTGTGTGTTTCTTCTGCATCCTGATATGGTTTGGAAGTAAAAGGGGAGGGATAAACTACAAAAGCAGTTTGTTACTGTGGTGTAAATTGGCTGCTATAGTTACCAGAAGAGAGGGAGGATTGTAAGAGCAGCAAGAGTTGGCATAATTTTCCTCCTCCATCCCATGGTTGAAATGGGTCTCTACTTAGATAGTAAAGAATTCTAATAGAGCTTTATCCTTAACTGAATAGACTTTATTGTGCTGGTACTGAGATTCTTTTGTTCTTCAAACATTTCTATTATAATAAGGTGGTGTTTTCTTTCTGTTTAATTAAATTACTCAAGACAACAGCTGCAAAGGGAAATAATCCTTGAATGCTTTTAATATTTGTAAAATGTCTTTAAAGAGATGATTTGATATAATACACTTTTTTTTTTATTCTGAGGTTGACTTATGCAGCAAAAAACTACAGCGAGCAGAACAACTGATTGGTGGTCTTGGGGGCGAGAAATCTCGCTGGCATGAGACTGCTTTGAAGCTGGGAAGGCAGTACATCAATTTGACTGGAGATATACTTATTTCATCTGGAATTGTAGCTTACCTAGGAGCCTTTACGTCCAGCTACAGACAAGTAATTCATACAGTGATTTTTATCTCTGTGTTTCGTAATAATCTAAATTGTATTAATTTTACTTCTAATACAAAGTTTATATTTTTAAATTCAGTTTTCATAGAATTCAGAAGTGGAACTGAAACTGTATTGTAGGATTTTGAGTTTTGTTTAAAAGACTCTTGTGGGGAATTTTTCCTTCATTCTACTATAAAGTACTTGTTGCTGTGAAAAGCACGGAGTCCTTTGGTTGCTTTTCTTCTCTAAAGCAATTGCCAGTAACTTTATACCACATGGCTCTGGTTACTTCTATTCCATTCAATGGCTAAATTATCGTTAACTTGAAAGAAAACAGAGTTAGCTTCTATTTCAGCAGCAGCACAATTAAGCAAGTTCTGAAAGAGGAATAATTCTGTACAAAAAGAGATGAAGATACAATAGGTCAATAACACAGCAGATTTGTGCCTGTAACTCTTAGTGAAATAAACAGAAGTTCTGAATACAAGAAGATTCTGACATGGCAGCTGATTTTAGATATAACAATTTTTGCATGTCAAAATATCCCTGACTTGGAAGGTTTTTGAACACCAAAACCTGGCACTGAATTAAAAATTAATTAATGTCCATTTCTTTTGAAAATGAGGTCCAGGATATCAAAAATTGCTAAAAATCGAGAGGGGGGAAAAAAAAAAATCAGTGTACCTCATCTGAACATAGAATTTTGATATAATCTGAATTTCCACTTTTCCTTCAAATAGACTTAATTTATCCATTTTTCTTTAGAAATTTTGTATTGTTTTTTCAAACAATTATTTTATTCATAATGTCCATGTGCCGTTACTATTTTAAAACTTTATAGAGTGTGAGTGTATGGTATGAGTATTTATAGTGTAAATAAACAGTCAACAGTTTTTACAATTCTGAATTATGTAATTTTGAGTTTTCTCTTTTATGCCTGTAACTGGCATTGTGCATAACATTATGTCCGGGTAGGTAGGAGTACTCTTGTTGAAACATCTTAAGGGGTGCTGAACTGTATTCCAGGCAAGTGTAGATAACAGGTTCTGATTATATTCATAAAAGGTAGAGACATCTGCATGATTTTTCATGAAAAATGAATACATAGTGACTAAATCCGAAAAGTTTAGTGTAATTTAATTCTCTCTGACTGCATGCTTTCATTCTCTGTGCAACAGTAGATATGGATTCCTGGTTGCTCATTCTTACTCTCATGATTGTGCAGACACATATTAGTTAAGTATCTTTTTCAGAAATTGTTGGATAGCATAATCACTTTTGTGCAGTTCTTAATTTCATCTGCTCTGCTGCTACATAATTTTTCCACTGCAGTTTTCATAATAGAAAAAGTTACAATATCTCTTGATATACAAACTTTGCTTTATGCAAATTGATGAATCCTCTGTGAATGTCTCTAGCCCTTAGACCATTTCCTTTAGCACTGCATTTCTGAGTTTTGTTGCTTGAGGCTTTGCCAACCCTTTTTAGTTTAGAATACTACAGCATATTTCTTTGACATTATACATAGCTTTCATACAAGATTGTGCCTTTCATCTGAACGTGCTATTTCTATACATTCTCCTTCTTTAGAAGTATTCTTCCTAGTGGAATTTGCCTTTTGGTTTACATATTTAAAGGTGTGTGTCTTCATTATTATTATGCACCATACAGACATGTATAGTTTACACAACTGTAGGGAGTTAGATGATACAGAGAATAGTAAAAAGCAACTCTGATTGTTACGTTGTTCAATTTGGTTAAGTCCTGACAAGTGCTCCTGATGTGTGTTCTGAGAGTTAAATAATGAAGTTTGTTTGTTTCAGTTAGAATACGTTCATTTGTTCTACACTCATTTTATGCTATAGAAATCTACTGCAGAATGATAAATAAAATCATACCAAGGCTCTGACCAAATAAACTTATATTTCATACATAAAAATCACTTACAAAGGCTTTTTTAGAGACATTTTTAGACATTTTATACAGAAGGATGAGTTTCTTTTTATTTGAAGATATACTGATCTTGTATATAGCAAGTGTTACAGGAAATGGGTTGAAAAATCCATTTTTTAATAGTTTGAAAATGTTGTGAATTGACAGAACTTCAATTGATATTTGTTCTCTTCTTACCTAGGTGCAAACTAAAGAGTGGGCATTGCTATGTAAAACAAAAGACATTCCTTGTTCTGATGATTTTTCCTTAACAAATACCTTGGGAGAACCAGTGGAAATCAGAACTTGGAATATTGCTGGACTACCTTCTGACATGTTTTCTATTGATAATGGCATCATTATCTCGTAAGTAAAAAGAAAAAAAAAAAAGAAAAAATTATAATGAATAATTTTCATTAAAATAGCTTCTTACAACATGCTTTTCAGTTATTATTTCTATAGACAGTTTTTTCAGTTTAACAACCAGAGTTATAAATTACTGTAATGTTTAAATTTAAAAGAAATACCAATAATACTTTTTAACTTTACAATGTCAAGTTTCTAAATCTGTGAATTCACTCCTTTCCTTTTTAACTCCTATGGATTGCTATAATGATACTTTCCTTCACCTCCCTGCCTTCCCTGTTTTGGTTTTGGGTTTTTTTTTTTTTGTTGTTGTTGGTGGTTTTTTTTTTGGTTGTTGTTTTGGTTTGGTTTGGGGGGGTTTGTTTGTTTTGTTTTTTTTTTGGTTTTTTTTTTGTTTGTTTTTTTTTAACAAACATGCTGCAGACTGCATACTTCAGGAATAGAATTTTAAATACTATTGGTGTAGTATAATCAGTAGATATGGAAATAATTCTCCTTTAAAAAACTAAAGCTCTTTAATTTTAAAGAAATACGCTAGCATCAGTTGCTGCCAAGTGGTGTTTCTGCAGAGCTACTCAAGATTATTTTGCTAATCTTTCTATGAGGGTCACACAATTTTTGCCTAAGGTGGCACTGGAAATACTATAGATGACATCTTGATTACTTGTCTATAAACAGTTTCACAGTTTATGTTGCCAACTGCTAGGAGATTTTAACATGCAGGCTTGTAACATATTTAGTGTGTGAAGCCCTGATGTTTTGGAAGTGTTTGTACACTGATGAGCTGAATCTCTATTTTGCTAGGGCACAGTAACAAAACAAGAAAAGAAGGCCCATATATATCTTCTACTGAAGGCATTAAGGGAGGTACAAAAAGATAGAATGGAGAGAACTTCTGGTCTCCTTTCTTACAGAGGCTGATCCAAACAATACACTCCTGACAGTTTCTTTCTCCATTTCTTACCTTTTATTCTATGTACTTCTAAACCGCTTTAACAAGAAAAAGTGGGATAAGCCTTTCCTGCAATAACCTCTGATTTCAGAAAGGTGTGCTTTCACATCACTTCAAGCAGTTGGGAGTTTGATATGTGTCTTCCTCATTCATTAGATAGTTTTAGGTATTGTATGAAAGGTGAAAAGGTGTATCCGTACTGACAGTGTGGAGTCTGTTTTCTTTAGGGCCTCATTCCCCTAGTTACCAGACTGGTCATTCCTAGGGTTCCTTCTGGAGCAGAACCACCTGGTGTATTCCTAGACAAAAGCTAAGAGAGCTTTGATTTTTGGGTTAGCGTAGGGACCTCTTTAGTAGGCACTATGAATGGGGTGCCACAAAGTCTTCTTTGCACCTGGTCCAGTCCTCAGCTTTAAAAACAAATTACTAAGAAGTGAATTCATAGTAGAGACTTGATTACATCTCTGATGTGCTGGAATTTACAAAATAATATATAGAGTGAAAAGCTTGGGAGTAGCAATTGTAGCTTCCTGTTGTAATGTGGTTAATATGATAATAGTCTTATCACAACTTGAAGAAAGTTCTGATAAGAAAAGAAGGATTTATTTTTCATTTTGAAATCCCCTTTAAAAAAAAAATTCCCTTTTGTAATAAAATACTTTGAATTTATTGAATGATACACTGATCCAAAACATTTTTTAAAATTCTGCATATTTAAAGGTATTCTCATTCTTAATTGAAAAGTGAAACAAATTCTGAAATCCCAAAATTCCTCCTAGAAGGAAAATATGGATCCCATGAACTCTAATATTCTTTCACTTTTAAGATGATTCTACATTCTTATGTGGTATTCTAATACGTGCACATCTGTGTCTCACCTCAGTCACTAGAATTATGTTTGTCTGGGCAGAGTTCATCTGGTATACATCAATGTCACAATCAGCACAAACGTCAGTGATTTGTATGACAACATGTCACATGGGAACTGACCATGTTAATATTTTAACATCTAGAAATATCTACAGCTCACTAGTGATCAGCTTTAGATTAATGTGCCTACTGATGACTGAGATACCTGTAGCACGGGTAGTTTTGTTAAATACAGAGCTGAGTGCTTACAATACGCTAAGCTTTGTGACCTTGTGTAAGCAGTTATAATTTTCATTTGGACTTGTGTTTGTTCTGACCGTGAACAAAGAACCTCTCAGTTCTGTCCAGTATGCTTGCTAATGCATGGCTACTGACTTTTAGCTTTTAGGTTTTGTTCTTACCACAGCTGAAGCTGAATTGACTGTGAAACAATGTTGCTTTAACTAGTTTTCTGTTTGTGATTGCTACCCATCTACTTCATGTCTGTTGGTTCTCTTTTCTGTATAAGGAACAAATAATTCTTATAATTCTTTTCCATGGCCAGGTTAATGGGTGTTATGTCTGTGATAACATGCACCTAACATTTATGCATCGTTTTTACCATATGCTACTGCAGAAACTTGCTAATACCAATCTTTGATTCTTGCTGCTGTTTACATGAAAATTCTTCTCACTGTTTCAGGAGTTTAATGTTGTATAGCACTAGTGAATGGATACTTCTTTTACTATAGAGTGAATGTTAGGCTTTCACTTATAACTGAAATGGTATTTTATTGGGCTAACTTTTAGAAGCATATTTGTGTGGATAATACTTCCGTTTTGGCAATTGGATAGGTGACAAAGCACAAAATGAAACATAAGAAAAATAATGCAGTAGCTAAAGAATCTTGGCATACTTTCATTTGAGTTTAAAAATTGGCATTGATTGTACTTTTGGAAGCAAAACTACTTACTAAAGTTAGAGGATATATGCTGGGATTATGAATGTATATGTAACTTTTAAAAGTAATTACTGTATTAATAATTCAATCACTTGAGCTAAACAGTTGACTAATGTTAATTAATTCAGTGCTTCTACAGTACATCCTAACACTTCGCTTTCATAAAGCTTTGATCAAAATTCTCTTTGAACTAATGAAAAGATGATTAGCATTTTAGAACTAAATGATAGCTCCTAATTTGGAAATGTGAGCTAGAATCTACCTCAAGTTGATGATATATATTATGCCTGTAGTAATGAGTTTATGGCTAGATTAATTTTATATTAAGATCCTAGGAACTATAAAAAATGCAACTCAAGCTTTTGTAACAACAAATTTTTTAAAAAGCAGAATTAGAGAGTTATTCAAGGATAATTTGCAAGCATATACAATGTCTGCCTATGCATCCCCATCAGTAAAGAAGTATTTTATCATTGATGAAAGCTATGTGTGTTTGGCTGTTATTAGAGAACCATTCTTTAGTTATTCAGTCTTAAGTATTTCATGGTAAGTCTGAAATTAATATGTGAATGAAACTTGGAAGTAATTAGGAAAAAAAATTACATACTATAGGTTTTGGTGGAGAATTTATCAGATCTTAAATTCCTGTTCTAAAATAAGAACAAGCAAAATTATTATGAGCAAATTACATAAATATTGTCTGTTTTAGAATGTGCGTAATATGTAAGTTTACTGTGTTCAGTTTACAGTTGCTGTATCACCTTGTATCATGTTACACTTAAAATCACCTGTCTGTATATACCTTGGGTCTCCCTTTGGGTTCTCATAAACAACTGAACCAACTAGCAATTTGTGAGGTCAGCAACTCTTTCAGTACATTTTGGATCCTTTGGTGAACACTGTTACTGTGAGGTTGTCTTCTAATATTGATGATGCTACTGCCTCATCTGACATGTTGAGATTTCAAATCCTCTGTTTGCTTCTCTAGGCCTACTGTGTTACCAAATTCCTCCTTATCTGTGTTTATCAAATTATTCAAAATACTTGAAACTTTACAAAGCATTTAACTTTCATTTACATTTAATTTTCTTAATGTCTACTTTGATATTGTGCTGTCCTGGTGAATTACAAATGCATTTCCTGAATCTCTCAATGCATTTTACCTTTCAAAGCTTTCTTCCTTCCTGGGTAGGCTGGACAGGGTCCCTTCCAAATTACCCATTTTCCTAAATCATTCTACATGGGGGAAGGAAGCCATCCTCCAGCTGGTGAATGGTGACTCCCAAGTCCAATTTGTGATCCATAAACACAGAAGGAACCTCTGTAGCATCCCATGTATAATCTCAGGCTACTGCCACACGTGTTACATTTCTCTTCCAAAACTTTGCTCCTAAACTTCTGCTTTCTTGCTTCCACAATCTCCATTTTCAGTCCAAAGAACCTAAGGCGCTTGTGCTCCCTAACTCCATATGTATTCCATCTTCTAGGCAATCACATTTATTTGGGCACATCTTACTGTGCAGAGATTCTGCAAGCAGGATCAGTCATGATTTCTAAGTACAGATTTTCTTTTTTTTTTTTCCAAAGGTAGATACCTTTTAATCTGTTTATATATTTCCCTTTATACTAACTAAAAATGTCTCTTTAATGGAAAATTCTATTAGTTTTCACTTGAAAATGATCACTTATACACATGACTATTAAAGCTGTTAAAAATTTCAGAACTTTTTTATTTCAAAAGTGTTATAAAATTCAGCGTGATTAAACTTTCTAGGAAGTAAGAAGTCTTATTCTAAGTACTTTCTTTGAAAGATAAAAATTATTTTTTTGCAGAGAACTTCAAGATTAATCTATCTCCTGTTAAATTCATCAAGAGTTATACCTGAGTATGTGCCTACTACCATTTCATACTGATGCACTTTTGTTTTAATGACAAAAGGGAATAAATTGCTTTATGAAGTACTTTGAGGTAAACGTTTGAAGAGCTTATATTTCAGTTTTAACAGTTTGTATTTTTCCCTTCAGTAATGCAAGAAGATGGCCTCTGATGATAGATCCTCAGGGTCAAGCAAACAAATGGATAAAGAATATGGAAAAAGCCAATAATTTGCATATAATCAAACTCAGTGACCCTCAGTTCGTTACAACACTGGAAAATTGCATTCAGTTTGGCAGTCCTGGTAGGTTAATGACTAATGAAACTGTAAATTACAGAAGAACCTGGAGGGGGCACAATTAGCTAAAAAATGGAACTCTAGTGACTATTGAATGTTCTCATAGTTAAGGAAAACAGAAATTTTTTTCTGTTTTTTCTGTTTTTTCTACTATAGTAATTGAAGTACTCATGCCAGGTTATAAGATACTTCTTAGCACAATATAATTATAATACTAATTTTAATTTGTATATTTTAATTGCTTTTATGAGATTTGCTATTTCTTTGTTTTCATGTTACAATAATTTTATTTCTAAAAAGTAACATTTTTATTTGGCTTTTCAAGAGTATAAATACCAGGTTGCTAGGCTGTGATCATTAATGATTCTTGTATTCTCTGTAGTATCTTTATTGCAAGTAGTCTTATTCCCCTCAAATAGAAATATATTAATTAAATACATAGTGACTACTCTAGCTATTTTTCAATGGCTAACGTGACTACAAGTAAAGAAATTGATTGTTTATTCTCCATTATTTGTTTCTTGATTTTGACAATCTCATATGCTTACATTGAAAATTGAAGCAGACTCAGTTATCTAAAATTGTGTCCATGGCATATGGCATTTAATTTGTTGAAATTTTCCTTTTTAAAAATAGTAGCCTTAAACTGCTGTTCTAAGCCATTGGCAGCAGTAATAAAGACAGCATTTTAGTTGCTTTTTTGCAAATTGATATAATATTAAAAAGAAATTAAAGGTTGATTTTTTGATTAGCTGAATACGGTAGAAAACATTCTTAAATCTAGATATTGCTCAATATTTTTATTGTTTGCACACTGTAAGTACACATTATACATATGTATTCTGAAGAACAGTCAAGCAGTAATATAAATGCCAAGAAAGTCCTGCTAATTCTTATGTTATTTTGAAGTGCTACTGGAGAATATTGGAGAAGAACTTGATCCCATCCTAGAGCCACTTTTGCTCAAACAGACATTTAAGCAGTCGGGGAGTATATGCATTTGCCTTGGAGACTCCACTATCGAGTATGCTCCTGAATTCCGCTTTTATATTACAACTAAGATGAGAAATCCACATTATCTTCCTGAAACTTCTGTTAAGGTAAGAATTTTGAAAATGAATGTGCAACTCTGTTTGAATTTTAAAATGATTAATGATTCCTTGGCTAAAACGAGGGAAGAATTTCTGGAATATGATTGTTCCTCCTCCCCTGCTCACATTGGGTTGGTTTTTTTTTGGGGTGGAGGTTTTTTGTTGTTGTTGTTTGTTTGTTTTT